TCTTTCACCAGCGCGCCCAATCAACACAGCATCCCTTGAGTGTGCTACCTGTGAACTGCCTGTGAACTACGCTGGGTATTATGGTCCGGCTGGATTCCGCACTGTTGCGCTCCGTGTACTTCGCTACACGCCAGACTTTGGCGCCTCGTCGCGGTTGGGCGCGCCGAGAGGCGGGATGCGGCGCGCGAACAGGGCTACCCCCTTGTCTGGCGGAGGCTACCCGGCACCGCGGCCAACTAGCAACTTGAAGCGCCGAATTTCCCGCGTTCAGATGGTGCCCTCCACACGCTGGCGGCGGCTAAAGGAAGGTCGGTGGCATCTGTGGGAGTAGGGTGCGCCGAAGGTCGCCGACCATGCCATGCACCTGCTGGTTTTGCATTTGCCTACCAAGGTGAAACCGCTGCCAGCTAATGTACCAAAGAGCAAAGGAACAGACAAGCGTGCAGTATGTGACAATCCAAAACTTATGCGGATGATCTTCGAGACCCGACAGAAGATTCATGCCAAAAAAACCACCAACAGCAGACATCATCGCAAAGCCGAGGCCACCCATAGAGAGATAAAGTTCCATCCGTTCGATTCGATTCCGTTCATTGTCGAGGGTCAACTCCAGAAGCTGTCTTGTCGCATCAATTGTACCACTTAGCTTCTCGATGGCATCATTTACACCTTCCCAGCGACAGAGATAGTTTTCGAAGATAGACTCAACTACCTCCTCTCTCGAATAGAGCGCAAACTCATCAATCGTAGGAACACAATACAATCGTGTACGTGCCTCATCTGATCGCTCGTATGGCACCGCATGCTGGCGAAAGAGCACGTGATCAGAAGCTAAATTTGAAATCTCGTCATCAAGAGCGTCATTGATCAGTGCCTAAAGAACAGTGAGTGCTCTGAGCATTGCTGGATGAGGGCACTGAGACCTCACGTACACACGTCGCCCGCGCACAGCCTCTTCCTTCAGACGCGTCTCAAGCCTACACTCATTATCGTGAGGGTTTAAACACTGGATAAAGACAACGCTAGATGCGGAAGGAGACGACATAAAGTGCTGGCCCTCGCAGTTTCTGAATTGCGGAGATCACTGAGAGATTCCAATTCCATGACAATAGCTCGTTCAAGTCGAGCAAACTCCTCCATCGCATGAACATATGCCTACATGACGCGTCTCCGGAAACATCTTGCACGCAAAGTCATTCTCGCCTCCTCTAGCACACACTCAAGGACGATCATGGCAAAGCCGAGGCGTCGGCCACCGGGCCTTGCCAAAACCTCATTTACATGCATCTCAACTCGTGAGCAGTGCTCTCGCGATGGCGCCAGTGGTTTGGCTGCTGCCGGCATGCCGGGGACAGCAACTCTCGCGCCATCGTCTCCTGCTGCAGGATACAAAAGGACAGCGCGGTCTCGATCCACGTAACCCTTGAGTACGACGAGGTCAAAGACAACAAACTTTTCTCGCACTGCCAAGTCCAAGGCCGAAGTTCTCAGCAGCAGGCGCGCGTCGCTTCCCGACACGCACCGACGCAACTCAGCCCAATCGAGAGTCGCATCTTGAGCACTCCCATCCTCCTCGATTTGCCTTGCCGCCCAAGTTTGCTTCTCGATCGGCAGACCATTCGTCCCGAGCCGGAATGAGCCTCGGCGCAGACGCGGTCCAGTGGTCGCGTCTGCCAGTAAAATGAGTACAGTGAAATGATAGGCTTGTCCAACGAGCAGTCTCATTTCATTTTGACTTATACATCTACGACGCGCCTGCTATTTAAACTTTTTTGTTTAACATGGTGAGACATTATTTCCGTCCATACGTCGGCAGCCTCGGGGACGGCCAGACCGCCATCTTCGAGTCGCACCTCCTGTACGTCGTCTCCTCGAAGACGGCGGGCGTCGCGCAGCAGCTCGCGTCGATCGAACTGCTAGTTAGGGTAGCATACCCCAAAGAGCGGAATGTAGGCTCCCTAGGTAGCTGGCTTATCGCCAAGCGCACTTTGATTGTGCTTAATCACACTCGCGTTCTGACCTCGATAGTCGCCGTTTATCAAGCCATTCGTTTAAAGGTCTGCCTCTCCTTCAATATTAGCTGTGCGCTCCGAGCCACCAATGTCCCAAAGTTCATCATAGATTGTGAAGTTTATTCCGTCAATGATTATATTTGCTTATGTGCAGTGCAGGCTATCCCTTGGGAAGTTGCGGAAAGAGAGAATGATACCAGGCTCATCCTACAAGTACATGTAACTGCCAACGATTCGCGCCGTCCACGGTCGCCGTCACGCGGACGCAGAGGCGCAGGGGTTGCCCCGACGACCGCGCGCTCCGTAGAAGCCCATAACAACGCCGCAGAGGCCCGTAAAGTAGCTGGATGCAGGGCGTGCTCCGCGCGCCGAGTGATGTTGAAACCTCCCAGGCCCTGAGTGACATCTGGAGAGAACCCAAGATGGTCCTAAATGGCGTCCAATTCCGTGGCGACGGGCGACTCTTCGTCAGCTCACTTCAGCGCCTCGCGCACACAATCATAGTAGACCAACGAGGAATAGGGGCACAGGGCGACAGATTGATTGAAGCGCTTGTACAACATTGCGCACGTACCTCTGCTGGCGCAGATGCATACTTTGCTGTCGAAAAGCTCCTCGGTATCAATAATAATGATGCTAGCATCAATATGGTCGTCGCACCTAAGCGAGAAGCCAAGCAAGTTCCGATTGATGTTCGGTGCCTGTTGCGCGATTCTAAGATATCTTGTCAAATAGTCATTCACAACTCATTCTCTGTGTACCGTCCCTTCACGAGCGAGGACGGCATGCGGCGAATGTCCGTGAAGCGTGTTGATTCAAGAAGTCCAGCGACCCCAGCCAACGCAGGCGATGACCTCCAAGTAGAAGTAGCAAACGAGTGGGTAACCATGCACACGATCGTCACGGATGCGATCATACTGAGCCCCGCTGATGAGCCGCGGGCTAAAGACTGGATACGGAGCCTGCGAGTCGCCACCCTCGGTTCTACTTGACACAACCTTAGACTTTGGCATTGTCATGTTCGGGGTATGTGCCCATGCCCACCCCGTATTTTAGTACCACTGGCAGAGTAGGTGTGGGAATCAGCTGCTGTTGGGCTCCAGCGGCGTCCGGCGGCGCCCGGCGCCCGTCCGGCGCCCGTCCGGCGCCCCCGGCGCCCGTCTGGGACTGGTCCGGCCGCGTCCGTCCGTCCGGGGCACGTCCGGGCCGCGTCCGGACCGCCGCGTCCGCCGGACGCCGGGCGCCAGGTTCCGAACCGGCCCCTTAGGGGCGGCCGCTAGTCGGAGCCTGTTATCTCTAGCTAGCATCTATAGATCATCTATCTCAAATCTTTCGTCCGTCTACTCCAGCGACGATGATCGCGGTGTTAACAATCCTTTTGTTTGCGCGAGGCGCGACCGCGTGGACCCGCTTGGTGCCGCGATCTCCAGGTTTCATGTCGCCGCTTCCTCGGCTCGCAGCGATGAAGCAGGGAACGGTAGTTTCGACGTTCGAGGAGGCGAAGAACTTGAGGAGTGACGCTGTGGCACCGCGGATGCGGTTCGCGCCAAGTCCAACGGGTTCACTTCACGTCGGAGGAGCCCGGACGGCCTTGTGCGTCTGCTGCGTCCGTCAAGCTTGGTAAAAGAAACGCTATGAGCTTCTGCATTGATTTCGTCAAGGCAAAACCAGATTAACGCTGTGTATCTGCAATGATTTCGTACGACTGGCATATATAGGTACAACTGGCTTGCTGCTCGTAAGACAGTGGATGGCAAGTTTCTTTTGCGAATCGAGGACACCGATGTCGCCCGTTCGACTCGCGAGAGTGAAGATTCGATGCTCGCTGACCTGGAGTGGTTGGGCCTCGACTGGGACGAGGGGCCTCGTGTGGGTGGTCCGTGTAAGATGTATCGACAGAGTGAGCGTTCAACAATCTACAAGGAAGCGGTCGACTTACTCGTAGCATCTGGCCATGCGTACCCTTGCTTTTGTTCCGAGGAGGAGCTAGAGGAGAAACGGGTGAAGGCAAAGATCGCTGGTTCTCAGGTCGCCTACGATGGGACCTGGCGCGAGGCAGACCCAGAGCAAGTGCGGGAGAATCTCGCCGCCGGTCTGCCCCACACTTACCGCTTTAAGGTGCCAAAAGGCAAAGTGGTCAGCATCGACGACAAGGTGTGTTGCCTGCTTCCTTGATAGTGAATCGTAACCCCGTGCTATCGTAGGTTCGGGGGCATGTTGAGTGGGATGTGCAGGCAACGATTGGCGACTTCATCTTGCTACGATCGAGTGGAGTCCCTGTTTATAACTTCTGTGTTGCAGTCGATGATGCACTTATGGGTGTCACAACCGTGGTTCGTGCAGAAGAGCACCTTACCAACACAGTGCGTCAACTCCTTGTCCTTGAAGCCCTGGGATTCACAGCACCTGAATACGCACATGCTTCCCTCATTCTTGGCTCGGACAAATCAAAACTTTCTAAACGCCACGGTGCAACATCATGTGGCCAATTCCGCGAGAAAGGCTACCTTCCCGACGCAATGGTTTAAGCTCTGTGCCGTCTTTACTCGCTATTCCGTTGACAGTTTGTTGGCGTAGGTGAACTATCTCGCCCTCCTCGGTTGGAATGATGGCACAGATAAGGAAGTCTACTCACGCGAAGAGCTCATCGAGGCGTTTGACCTGAGCCGGGTGACAGCGTCGCCCGCCATGTTCGATGACGCCAAGCTCCGTTGGCTAAATGGTCAGCATCTTCGTGCAATGCCCCTGAAGCCTCTGTTGCCACTTGTGCTTAACCGTGCCATAAGCCACAAAGACGCAGCGGAACTCGTCTTGCGCGCAGGTGCACGAGGACCTCATGGCAAGAGGCCTTCTACAAGAGAGTGGCAGCGAGGTTTCTGACAAGATTGGAGCCTTTCTAATGGCCGCAACGGTCGCCGCCCAGCCCAAGGCTGAATTGGTCACTGACATTGCCGACATGGCAGTCGCAGCGCTCTCGCGCAACACCGTGTCTATTTGACACTGATGACCTTCAGTCTCTGAAAGAACCCAGCCTAGAGCGCGCATATTTGGTGCTTCTTGAATAGGTATCCATTCACAGAGACGCTCGGTAGCACTGAAAGCGCAGAGCAGAAGCGCCTCAAGACTATCCTGGACGATGACTTCGCAGGCTTTGCTGTTGCCCTAGCAGCATCCTTCGATAATCACGAGGCACCAGATTACTGTTATGATGCCGTGCTCGCAGCGGATGCGGATGAATCGCTTGTCCTTAAATGGCTCACAAGGGTGGGATCTAGAGAGAATCGAGACAAAAAGCGTCTGCTGATGCCGGCCCGCCTCGCCCTCACTGGCTCGACGACGGGCATCGATGTTTCTAGCCAGCTAAAACTGCTTCAATGCGCCCTCGACGCTGGTGTTGACGCATCTTTCCTGGTTCCTATGCACGAGAGAATCAGACAACTTAAAGACTGGGCCATCAGCGATAGTGGCAGTTTTGGGGGGGACAATATTTATGTCCATCCGAGGGAAGAATCGGCAGCAACGATCATAGATCTAAAGACGTTTTCCAAGCTTCGCATGGTCTATGAGGCGAACCGCCGCAGGGCCGAGGAAGATAGTGACATGTTTGAGATTCTAAAAGCTGCATATGAGCAGCTCTGAAGGCGACTCATGCACGAAAGCACAGCAATAGCCTCGTCTGCTCCTCACCTACCTCCGCTGTGCAATCTGCCATCTCTGGCATTGTTGAGCTGCGGCCTCCCAGGTTCTCTCCTTATAAAAAGCGCCTGGGGGTGGAGATTACCAGTCCCTGCAAGCCGTTCCTACCAGGGCCGTGGGCAAAAACAAAAAGCAGGGCGCCTCTCGCATGGCCGCCAAAAACTAATAAAGGCACTTCCCCCCACTTGGCCTAGTGCGGCATAGTCTATGCGCTTCGTAGTACGGGCCAACCAAATTCCATTAGTGGGTCGTGCACCATAGAACGCGTGCAACTACGCTCCCTCCTAGCCCCCCCTGCTTGTTTCCCCTGTATTCTACATGCCACTACTACGCACTACTGCCTGAGGTGCAGTAGTCCTTCACATAGGTACTTTTGTCCGGCGATTGTGCTACCTCGCTGAGCCTGGTGCTCTCTGGCACGTCGCTGTGACGCTAACCAGACAAACACCACAGACACAGAAGAGCGCTATGCTACTTCTGCCTCTGCTGGCTATCACTCCGTCAGTTCGCTGTCTATAATACTTGAAACTGGACTAGAATGAATTAAGGAAGGGAAGGGAAACTAGCAGGATGCGCAGTAGGAGCGCAGTGGGGTAAAGTGCACTACAACATCAAGATGCAGTTCACTGAAGATGAGAGTAGAAACCTCTCTATCTCTCTAACAATATGCCAGTGCAACTTGGCAAAGACGAGTACATATGTACTTCAGAGAGACAGACTACGCTGCCTCGACTGTTGTCGCCTTATCAGGCTACCACGACACTCCATAGTCCGGGGGTGTGAATATCACTTCCCCCTCAATAGTTACGTCGCTGCCCTCCCTACCCGGGCCGGAGTCACGGTCCGGGGTGGCGCGGGTTATTTCCGAAGGCATGTTGTCCCCCTCTGGGGAGGGTACCAGCATAGAAAAAAGATGTGTTAAGTTACGAGGATACACCGAGTTTCAAGTTGGAGTGTATGGAAGTGGCCATGGGTAAGCCAACGGGGGGCCACGTGGGCTAACCAAGTGATCCGCCATTCTACGAATCGACAACACCTAAATGACCTACATGTGGTGATCTACCGTTGCCCATGCAAGACTGACTAGCCTCGTCAATGCAGAGCTGTCGCAAACTTTCGAGCACGCCTCTTTTTGACGTCTTCTATGAGTATCCTTCCACGTCTGAAGACAACCCAGGCGTGTTGAACATAACGGCATGCTTGAAAACACGCCGCAGCAATTCGGAGCTTCCAGCAGTTGATGAGATCTCCAGCTGGAGAGGTGGGGTAGGCGAGGCCGGCTTGTTCCATTTGCCTGTCAATGCTGAGCTGAAGTTCAGCCCTTTCTTGGGGTGTCGCTGTCTTTTTTTGTTCTCGTTTTGGACGGAATCGCCAAATGGACATGCCCGGCATTGGGTCAAGTTCTCGAGTTGTGCTCGCAACGGGCAAAGTATTTTTGTCACTCAAAAATGGAGCCTGCCCCCCCACGCGCTGTCGACTGGCCACGTTCTTCTTGCGATGTTGTCTATGCACGGTCCTATTGATAATTTTCGCCTTGCTGGATGGCTTCGATGCGGGCCACTTATCAGTATCAAACCACATTTGTTTGGTGGCTCGTGCCTGTTCTCTGAGTTCAGTAGCGCGCTTGATATCGTCAAAGCAATCATCAAGTTCATTGTGGCTAGCTTCCTGTGCCTAAGGTTAGGACTAAGTCTAGGCATTGGTACAAACGTGCTCAAAGAGGGCCCTGGGGTTGTGCTAGAAGTCGTTGAAACCGATCTCTATCTTCGTGGCTCATGCGAGCAGCGATTCGGTTCCGCTCCTGCCGCCGGCTAACCGCATAAAACTCTTCTAACTGTGAGTCGCTTGCACCGGCATCTTCCATTGCGTTGTACATCTCAGCATCGGAATTACTAAGACGATAGAGCATGCGATTTCTCACATAGTTTGGATCATCGTTTGCTTGCTCCTTTAAAACCCTGGACCTAAACTTTGAACTTGGGGACGCTTGGGTGAGACGCAGGATGTCATGCCAGTCAAGTGCTTGCGACCTCTCTGTATATGATGTTTGCGCGGCGGTCCGCTGGTGCTGTTCTACTAGGCCTGCGTGCACCTTAGTAGACGCCTTAGCATCCAAATTCGCTCGCTTCCGAAGCAGCGCCTGCTCATGTTCGCTATACAACACGTCTTGCCCATCAAAAATCTTTCCAAAATCTCGTTTGGTCTTTTTATTCCGCTCCCTAAGCAATTTGAGGTAAGCAGCTGCCTCGCGCGCTGCACGTCTCGATGTAGTACCAGCTCCGGCCTTATTACCGGCAGCTTTGACCTTGGCGAGGCACTGCTCAGCATGCCAAGTGTGTCCCATCTCACCCCGAGCCTTTGCGAGACGAAGCCAGGCCTTAGTACGGGATGCAATGTCCCCGGCTTCGTCCACAACCTGTGCCAACGGAGCGCGCTTTGGCGCCAGGAGAATGAATTGGGAAAGTCCCACCATGGAAGCGGCCGCTGCCGCGGGTGGCCAGTCTTCACGCTTTAAGCAGCAGAGGGTCACGTTCAGAAGTAGAGAAGTTAGCACAGCGGGATCGACACCATCTGCGGATTGACCTAGGCAAGGGTGGGGTCTAGGCACAGCGAAAATGCTGCAGCGTACAGAGGGATCGGAGTGCCAATACTAAAACTCTACCCACGGGCGTCGGTGACGTCGCCGGACATATTGTGGTGGGATAATCACCACCGACACACATGTGAATACCCATGAGATAACCTGATAATGCGACATCCAGGCGACCTGCTTCTAGATGTTCCGTCGCCGCTGCCTTAATTGCCGACACCCGCTCGCGTACTGCCTCATAGCCACCGTCAGCTACGCAGAGTTCCCGCGTTAATTTGAATGATGCCGCTTCTGCCTGGTTGCGTTGCGCACGATTCGCTGCATTTACGTCGGACATCCCGCACTCTTTAGTAACGCGGCGGTTCCTAGGATCCTGTAGCCGAACGGTTTTGGCCGTCATTATGGGGGGTCTTGCTCCGGCGACGGCGTCCGATGGCCGACGCGTCGGACGCCCGAACGTGCGGTTTTTGGCTAGCGGCCAGGGACGCCCGGTGCCTATACGTGACAAAAACAAGCGCTCGGATTGGGACGAATGGCTAGCCGTTTCGCTGGTTGAGTACCAAACACGTACGCGCGGGCCGGGAGCGGAGACCTCTGAGCCCAAGCTTCCGACGCACAGCAGCCCGCTCTGGTGGTCGGAGTGGCCTTCCATGACCCCTAGGCGTAAGCCTGACCGTCGGTGCCCCCATCGGAGGTGGTTCTGGCGTCGACCAAATTCCACCGCGCGGGCCTCGTCCCCGCGGGGCTGCCGCGGCGTACAAGTCCGTGCCAGCGAAGCGCGTCACGATCGATGGCGTTGGATACGCCCCTTGGTTTTGGGCGCGACGTGGGTGTGACGGCTGGGGTAGGCCATTTACCTCGCGTAAGATGTACCACCCCGCTCCGCACGCAGGGGTGCAAAGAATATAGACTGACCTTGATGTCTGTCTGTCTCTCTCTATCTCTATATCTCCATGACTATACTGTAGTACAGTACGCTACACTACCACTACCCTACTACCATCATGCTAGTACTGTACCTACCCTAGTTAGGCCTTCCTTCCCGTTCCCCTTCTTTATAATCAGTTACTATCTTATGACTGAGCTACCGTAAGGTAGCACACTGAGCTTCCCCTCTCAAGCACTGTGCTTATCCTGCTACTACGGACTGTACCTTAACGTCAAGTTGATGTACGGGACTTAGATTCCTTACAAGGGGTGCCGCCGAGGCCACTGGCGGAGCAACACCCCCCCTCGTCATTCGGTTGGCCCGAGCCGTCATTCCGTCCCCGAATGACGGTCTGGGGCTGCGCGCGAGTTTCGCCCGGTTTCGGCCGCCGCGCGGCCCGTCGCCCGCGCCGCGAAGTCGGTTTCCGGGGCGTCGACCCCCCCGGGCCGCCCCGGAGCGCTTTCGCCGGCGCGCATCGGCGCGGTGGTCGCCGCGGGCTGCCCCTCGCCCCGCGGCGGCATGGACGCGCCGCCCGACGACGACGACGACGACGACGTCGTCTGCCTGTCGCCGCCGCCGACGCGGTCCGCGGGCGCGCCCGAGGCGCTGGGCGAGCCCTGGACCGCCAGGTCTTCGACTGCGCGCGCGCGCGGCCCGTCGACGCCGCCGCCGTCGCGCCGCGCGGCCGCCGCGGGCAGCCCCGCGGAGCCGAGCGACGACGAGGTCTTCTGCCTAGCGCCCCCGCCGACGCGATCCGCGCGCACGCCCGAGGCGCCGGGCGAGCCCTCGAGCTCCAGGTTTTTCTCCGTCGCCGCCGCCGCCGCCGCGGCCGCGCGGCCGCCGCGGGCAGCCCCGCGGACACGAGCGACGACGAGCTCGTTTGCCTGTCGCCTCCGCCGTCCGCGACGCGGTCCGGGACCGCGGCATCGCTGCCGAGGTCGCCTGAGCCGCCCGCGCGCGTCCGGTCGCCGCCGCGCGACGCTCCGACCGCGTCGCGCGCCAGCCCCGCGGACACGGGCGA